TATCGATCAAATAACAAGTTTACCTAAATTAGTGTTGATATTGAAGCTTAGTTTTAATGATAAATGACGCTTTGATAAATAATTTTAAATGTAATTAATATTTAATTTTTAATAATTAAAAGCTATTATTGTTTTTAATTTAAATATTTTTATTCCTTTAAAATTAGTATAAAATGTTAATTGTTAATTTCAAATTTATGCAACAAATAGTACATAAGATAGAGAGCTTCAACATTTGTGTTGCCAGGCACAAGTCTTGAGTTCTATTTAGATTGATTTATTTTATCGACTCATAATTTTTCTTCTTAAATAACTTATTATAGTGTTTAAAAACATAGCTATTAAATTGAGAATTTAAGTATAACTTTATATTGATTAATTAATCTGTAATTTAGAGGCACTTTTGATGTTGAAACATCATCCTCTTTTATCACGGATAAAAAGATTAAAAATATATATATGCATTTATAATAGGCTCGGTTAAGAGAAATAAAATAGAAGACAGGTGAGGAAGAAAAAATTTTTATATAATTAAATTAAAATTTTAATTAAACATCTCAATTTAATTGAATAATAAAATTTTCTTTATATTGATTTTCTTTAAATCAAATATACTCATGGTATAGCATCAAAATTATAATATAAAGTGCCACGATAGCACCACCCCTATTATTTTCAGTAAGAAAAAAAAGAGTAAAAAAATATCTAGTGTGGTAATATTATAAATTGTGACAATATTATCACCCCTTTTGTTTTAATCTTTTTGAGAAACATAGTTAGTTAGTCTCCAGGGTTTTTTTTTTTTACAAACATTTTGGTATTTAAAAATTACATTAAATTTCAATTAATTTGAAAGTAATGTTGAATATGAAAAACTCTTTCAATATTTATTTTTTTATTTATAAAATTTGAATTTAAAATTTTATAGTTAAATCTTTAATTTGATCTTTAAATTAAAAAAAATTTTGATTTGATCCCTAAACTATTATAAGGATTCGATTTGATCCTTACTATTTACTAATTTACCATAAGTTAATTATTCTATATAAAAATTAATTAACGTATCTCGTTATTAATGTGACTCGTTATTAATGTGACACATGACCATTAAATTATTATTTTTCGTTGTTAAGTTTTTTTTTTTACTATTACGTAACAAACACATTAACTATATTTTGTACAAAAGAATTAATTTGAAACAAATTGATAAATAATATGACTAAATTAAAATTTTATACAATAATTTAAAGATCAAATTAAGAATTCATATAATAATTTAAAAATCAAATTTTATTTGAATGATATGAAAAACTTCTTTCACTCAATATAACAAGTCATTTGTACCTAATCTTCACTCGAACTAAAAGTGTTAAAACTACAGTAATTATAAGTTATTAAATATAAAATAAAAAAATATTTTATAATAAAATGTAATCAGAACATTTTAACGTGAACCTTGCACCCTCGGGGTGTGTTTGTATATGCGTTTATCAAAACATCCATCAACGGTTCAGCACAAGAGCCCGAAGGGTGTAGTTTAAGCACTGGAACGTTGTTTGCATCTTATCATTTCCCCCCCCCCACGTCTGCGTCTATGAAATGGCGTGCAACTACTCCAATTAAAACCCAGCACGTGGAGTCAGCCCACGTGGATATTCGGCAATTACACGTGGGCCATTTTGGAGATCTCCAGAATTTCGAGAAGGGCGTGATATGTGAGCTGGCTACGCAACCTCTGCAGCGTGTGGGGTCCACCTGGCATCCAGTCCACCTGCGTGGGACACGTCACTGACCGGACCACACTAAAAAACACCGACATTAGCGAAACCGGTGGGGTCCACACCAGCACGTCATTTAGATGCCTTTTTGTAAGTCAAGGCAGGCAGGCCGCAGGCCTCGCTGGCAGAGATACCACCTCCCCCCCTCTCCCCCCAACCCCAATTTTTCATTGTGTCGTGGCTCACTGCCATCCGTTCGATTAAAGAGATACTAGCCGTCGGATGGCATCTAACGTATGATGTGGGTCCCAACACTTAATATAATAAATGCTGCTTTTAATTTGACTTTTTAAAGAAAGGTTGTCTTGTTGTATTCTATCCCTAAGATAAAAGGTGCATTAATTATATTTTATATATGAGATTGTTTAATTTATATCTTTAAAAATGTAATAAATATATATTTTTTATTATAAATTTATATTAAAAAATAAAAATTAGTATTTAATTTATTAATTATTTAATTAAATTTATTTGACATTAAAATTAAAATTAAAATTTATATTTTTTATATATATTTATGATAAAAAAATATATATTTAATATATTTTTAATATGTACTCTAAAAAATAAGTTAAAAAATCTTTTATATATTTAATTAGTTAATTAAAATTATTTAAGTGTCAGTAATACCAAAATAAAAATAAATTTTTGTTATTTTTATAAAAATTAAATATAAAAAATATTAATTAAATAGTTTGTTTAACCTATGCTCTAGGACATATATTAATGATATATTAAATATATTTTTTATCATAAATTTATATTCAAAAAATAAAAGTTAATTTTTAATTTATTAATTATTCAATTAAATTGATCTTATACTAAAATTAATATCAAATTTTATATTTTTCTATATATATTTATGACAAAGAAATATTTAATACATTTTTAATTTGTGTCCTTAGAGCATATATTAAAAAAAATTTTAATTAAATTCTTAATTTGTAGCTTTTAATATAAGTTAAATAAACTTTTAATTTTTATAATAAATAATATACGTTGATCTTATTTTTATTATTAATATCATATAAATATTTTTAATTAAATAATTAATTAATATAAATAATGTATTTTTAACATGAGTTTAAAAAACATAGGGCTTATATATAAATTTTTAAGATTTTTTTATTTGTGATTTTAAGATACAAATTAAAGATAGTTTTTTATTATGAATGTATATAAAAAAATGTAAAAATTAATATTTATTTTAATATTAATATTAAGTTAATAAATTTAATTAAATAATTAATAAATTAAAAATTAATTTTTATTTTATAATATAATTTTATTATAAAAATATATTTATTTATTTTTTTTATCACCAACAAACCCATATTTTTTTTAAAGAAAATGGTTATCTTTGATGTTTGGGTAGCGAGTTATTTGCTTACACGTGGGCCTATCTGAGGTGACCTGGAAAAGTGTGTTTGATTTAGCACCGAGAATGGACGGTCAGGATTTAAGATAGGCAATATTCGAGTCAAAACAAGTTGCGTCAGACATGGAGTGCTCTCTGCGTCGGAAAGAGAGGTACCATTGCCTCCATGTGAAATTACCTGATATTGCCCCTACTTACTTTGTCCTTCCTCCTCATGCGCCTATTGCTACTAAACACAAGCACACGTGCGAAACTCTCTCTCTCTCTCTCTCTTATTCTTTCTTTTTTTTTGACAGTAAAAACTTATTCTTTTGGTATTATGGGAATCTCAGATTTTATTTCTTTAAATAAAAGAATTAATTGTGAATGTCCTTATAATTTAATAATTATATTTTTTTATCTTAATTAAATAATAAAAGATAATTATTTCTTATTTTTATTTTATTTCATTTACTTATCAAATTATTTGAATTTAAAATTTTTTATTTTTAATAAAATAAGATAACCATCGTAATTACTTTTCTCTTATCATTAACTTTTCATGTCAAATTTAGTAAATCTAAGATTCAAATCTCACGTTTAATGTTTTAAAAAATAAAAATAAAAGAATTAATTAACATGTCTAGTACTAAAAAAATATAGATAAATTATTGTTATATTTTAAATAATTAACGTCTTATATTTTTATGTAATTATTTATTATATTTTTAAAAATTTATATTTTTTATTTCTTAATAAATTAAAATATAATAATAATAATAATAATAAAACCCCATAGTAATAGAGGTTGACAAAATAACATCAACCATTTTCTGAGGGTTGTGATTGTCAAAATAATGTTGTAGGATCATAATTGATTTGCTCTTGTAAGCTTTAGCTGCAATTGAAAAAAATGCTTAATCCCTGACTTTGGTTGGTTAGCGTTTGAGTTTAGTCATCCTAGTCTCTGTAGTTGTAAAATTTTCTTTTTTTCGAAATTTCTCTATGTTAATTAATCAAAGTTTTCATAGAAATAGAGATCATAATTTGTTTATTTTGTCCCTAATTGAAATTCCCTAAAATCTGCGGCTGATGTTAAAGTTTCTTCAGCGGGGTTGATGTAAAGTTTAAAGGTAACGGTGTGAAGATTTTTTTTTTTAATAACAATATTTTTATATATTATTAAATAATAAAAACCAAAAAATATTATGAAATTTAATAAAATAAAAATAATTAATTATTAAATAACATATAAAATTATATAAAAATTATATTTAAAGATTATTTAGCAATTATTTTTCAAAGGTTTAAGAGAGCCAATCTCACTAATCCCATCTAACTTGATGGTAAACACAAAATCAAGAGTGTAATTTTAGGGATTTACTTTCTCCCTCTAAGAAAATAAATTTTAAAAAAAGATTTTTTTTTTGAACAAATTGTCAAGGAGTAAGCTCGAAACTTGTTCATGGGGAAAGAGAAATGCAACTCAAACTGGCAGGTTGCCAGTTGACCCTTCCGGCCAAGTGCAAGAAAAGACATTTAACAAAATATAAATTACAAATTAAATAAAAATCAATAATACAATAGACTAAACTTGCTTTTTGACAAAACTCAAAATATATAAATCAAAAATGTATTTAAAATAAAATCAAGTTGAGTTGAATTGAATACATAAATACTTTAGTTTGACTTTATAGTATTAAATTTAAGTACCAATTAAATTCACAGGTAGGTTGGGTTTGACTTGTTATCTATTTTTAAATTAAAGAATCCTAACTCTTTAACTTTATTTCAATTGTGTCCCTAACTCATGTATGTATATATTAAGTATTTTTTTTTAGTTTTAATTCAATTAAGTCTTTATCTAAAGATTAAATTAACTAAAATCTATATATAAATTATTAATTTTTTATATTAATGAGCTTGGGGACTTGCAAATTTACAATTGAGTTTGAACTCAATTATTCTATTGAGCTTGAGATTAAGTTTGAGTTTCAGATTTACTTGATTGTTCCAACAAGTGAAGTTTGACTCTAAGCATATTGAGGCCTCTTACCTTAACTATTAAGCCAAGGTTTAACTTTTTCATTTTCTCTTAATAACCTTGAATTTAATTTACATTATACCAATTAACTTCAGGATATTTTATACTTGACCCTATTTTTAGTTTAATGTAACTTTTGTATAAGTTATAATTTAATTAAATAGAGTTTTTACATGTTTGCTGAATAATGAATTTATGTACTAAAATAATATCTAAATAAATTTTTAATATTTGATGAAATATAAAATCTAAATACACATCAAAAGATACAATTTTAAAAGTTTATATGTGATGTTATTGTCATATATTAAAGTCTTAATATATATGTTTTTTATTATTTCATTCCTAAGTATACGAGAAATTAGTCATAATAATGTTTTCAAAATTTTATTAATTTAAGGAATATAAAAATATACTATAATATATATTTTTTAATGCTGACACCATATGACATGATGATAAGTTCACTTATAAATTTTATGGGTTTGACTTCTAATTCTGTTAGAAAATTTAAATACCTTTGCATAAATTTGTGTTAGAAGTGAGAAAAATTAGAATGTTCGGGTAATTAAAACATCATTAATAATATTAATAAGAAAATAATTTTATATATATTTAATAAATAACAAAAAAATTTATTAAAAACATTTAAATAATTTTACTAGTAATTATGCACATCTTAATTTTCACTTAAGAAACGTATTAAATTATATAACATTAATTGTTAGACATAAAAAGGTCTTTATATTTATAATTAATAATGATTTTTATTTTATAATTTAATAAAATTTAATTGAAAACATGACTCTTTCCACTTTTCTTTTTTTTTGGTTTCACGTCCGGTATCTGGGGTTTTGTCTCAACTAATCCGGATCGATCGGCGTCGCACACCTGGAGATGGTGGATGAGTCTCCCAACGAAAGCTGCTGCGTTCACAAGGTCTCGAACTCGAAATCTTGCTTAAACCGGAACAAACCGCTTATCACTTGATCCAAACCTTCATTGGTGACTCTTTCCACTTTTCTTAATTGTGTTTTTCTTGCTTTTAAAGAATATGAACTTTTTAACTTGTATCTTTCATGTATATGTTAAGTTTTATTAAATATGATATTTTTAATTAAGTTTATATAAATTTTTATATTAGGTTTA